CCGGCACGTGCACGGTTCTTGCCGGCACTTCCCTGGGAAACTATTGCGCGCCGAGGGTGAAATCGCCGTGCCCCTCTTCCCGCTCATCTGGTTTGCTTGTTTGTGCAACGGGTCCGCCCGCCTTGCCCGTGACTCCAGGCGGTCCCATCTCGGTGCAGCTGACGGTTTGCCCCTCCTTGGCTAAGGCAAGTTTGCCTTGGTGATAGCAGCGATTTTGCCGAGTGACTGATTCTTGCCCGGAGTGCTGGGTTGAACACAAACAGCCTGAACACCAGGCCTCTGCTCTGAGCAGCTGGAGTGTTGCTGAGGTCCTTGGTGCCGTTTCCTTCTTCACATGGCAGTGTCTCACCAAGGATTGAAAACTGGACGGTAACTCAGGGCTGCAACAGCAGATCAGCGTGACAGGAAAGATACACTTACACTGTAGGAGGAAAGGCAGAGGGGGGCATGCATATGGACATACGAGTTTCTCACAAAATTGGTAGGGCCTACTCCAGTGCTGCTGCTCCTTTCCCCCTCTCAGCCTTCCCTTCATTTATTTTCTAGCCAAGTTGCCTTTTGGCCAGCCCTTTCCTTAAGCTCGCAAGCAAAACTTTGTAACTTCTTTTCTGATCCCAGTCCTTCCTGCAGCGCGGGTTAGTCCCGTCATACTTGGGTGACAGGCTAGCTGTTCTGGCTGCTCACAGTTCTAATAGACAGATTTTATTTAGAGAGCAGGTGGAAGTTCCTGTTAGACCATCTGTATCAATCTGCAAAGCTGAAAAGCTGAGTGTCTTTGTGTCTGGGCCTCCTCAACATTTCTGTAGAAATGGGGACAGGGGAGTTGTTTTTGTGGTCCTGGGCCTATTGGTACAGGGGCTTATGGTTTCTTTTGTATTTGTAAATCAGTAACACTTCTGGTCTCTCTCTGCACATAGAGGTGGATGCTCTGACAAAGGAGCTGGAGGACTTTGAATTAAAGAAAGCTGCTGCCCGTGCTGTGACAGGAGTGCTGGCCTCCCATCCCAACAGCACTGATGTGCACATCATTAACCTCTCGCTGACCTTCCATGGCCAGGAGCTGCTGAGTGATACAAAACTTGAGCTGAACTCCGGGAGGCGCTACGGCCTGATTGGACTCAATGGGATTGGTAAGCTGTGGGGTACAATGATGTGGGCTTCTTGGATCTTGGTGAAGATTCTGTGCTGCTGAGAAACTGGACAGATGAGGGTGGTAAATTCTGGAAACCAGAAAGAAGGCTGTTAGACAAACATGGCTGGGATGTGGCAGTTTCCCGTTTCCCATCCTCCTACCCAGGAAGAATAATGCTAGGATTGCTGGTAGAAGTATGAGGTTGCACTCTGGCTTTGGACTGTGCATTTGAACTTGTTTCTGTGAAAAGTTGGGTGAGATGTCTGGGGTCTGTGAATCTGCCTGATTCCTGTTTGTAGGATTTGTTTAGCAGTGTCAATAAACTCAATGCTGATGCTCTTGCTCAAAGAACTTGCACAGTATGGAGGTGTTGGGAGTGTATGTTTTGGCCTAAATGGGAAAACAACTGTACAATCCCTGGAGAAAGCGATGCTCTGCATGGAGAGATGCAGAGTATCGGTGTAATTGAAGAAGAGCTAGTAAGAGTAACCATCTGGTTTAACTTTCAGGAAAACACTGGGGTTGTCTAGTGATGAGGGCGTTACTTTCCTCTGTGTTAGAAGTCTTTAGAGTCTGGGGTCCTGCTAACAGATGTCAGACCTGATTAGACAGCAGGAAGTATACAGCAGAGATAAAGTGCCCTAAATCTGTGCAAGGGCTGAACTGCAGTGGTTTCCAAAGAGCTTCTTCATGTCTCAATCCTGTCCTTGGAGTGGTGAGCCTTAGCCGGGAGGGCAGCCTGTCGCAGTGAGGCAGTAGACTCTGCTGTGTCTCTAGTTCTTCTGGCCTCTTGGGCATGAAATTCCCAAGGATTTTTCTGGGGTTGGAAAGGGACGGAATCAATGGGATCTGACTGCATCTCATCCATTACTCTGTGATGTATCTCACTGAATCCAACAATTAATTGTGGAGTGTCTGTCTGCACACAGGGAAATCCATGCTTTTGTCAGCTATTGGGAAACGAGAAGTGCCCATCCCAGAGCATATTGACATCTATCACCTGACCCGAGAGATGCCTCCCAGTGACAAGACCCCCCTACAGTGTGTGATGGAGGTGGATACAGAGAGGGCCATGTTAGAACGAGAGGCGGAACGTCTGGCTCATGAAGATGGTAAAGCTGCTTGGAGTCCCTGTGGACAAGGGACATTTCCTCCATTTCCCTCCCCACTGAAGAGAAGGTCTTATTTGGGTTCCTTGGCAGAGTTTTTACATGTTATGGTACCTGTTTCCCCCAGCTGCCCTGTACTAGTTGAAAAGTCCTGTGGGATTACACTTGTTTGGATGAAATTATTCCATTCTTAAGAAGTGTCTCAGGCTTGGGAATGGAGGGGGCTGAATAGTGATAAAGCAGATGGACCATGAGCTTTCCCAGCTGCATAGAGGTGCAGCTGAGAGCCCTTTACTGGTAGAAGTGGTGACAGGCAGGCTCTCTTTCAGCGGAGTGTGAGAAACTCTTGGAGTTATATGAACGTCTGGAGGAGCTGGATGCTGACAAGGCAGAAGCACGGGCCTCACGTATCCTTCACGGCTTGGGGTTCACACCAGCCATGCAGAGGAAGAAGCTGAAGGACTTTAGCGGTGGCTGGCGAATGAGGGTGGCTCTTGCTAGGTGAGTGGTATGCTACTTGCTGCCTCCTGGGAGAATGCCTGCCTGCTCCTGACCCTGCAGAGCCACATACACAGTTCTAAGAACTCAGCGCAGAGCTGAGAGGCTTTGGGTTACATGCGTTTACACTGGATGACACTGTCATCTCCCCTTTCCTTTCAGAGCCCTCTTCATTCGGCCTTTCATGCTGCTGCTAGATGAGCCCACAAACCACCTTGACCTGGATGCCTGTGTGTGGTTGGAGGAAGAACTGAAAACGTAAGCATGAAGGAGTTTGCTGCTTCTGTGGGTTGTGCTTTTCTGCTGGGACATCTTGTCAGCACATGAGCAAGGGCTACAGGGATAGCTGTCTGTAGTTTTTGTGGCTACCTAACTATATTCAGTACCAGTCACGCCTTGTGCTTGCTGCTACATGTGTCTATGGAAGGGTTCTTGATGCAAGGGCAATGAATTCAAGACAAGACCCCATCCCTCCCTCGCTGAAGAAATGGGAAGTGCTGGTTTGTACTCCCTGGTTAAAGCTACTTCCTTGAAAGCCAGGAGTAGTTATGAAGCTTAGGTCCTCTGAGTTGTGCATTGAAAGGACTGTATTGGGAAAAAGGCTTTTCGTTTGCAGAGGTTTTTCCGTCAGCTTTGTCAGCAGAATCTTTTGCATGCCTGCTTTAGAAGTCAGATGTTTTAGGAAATTTGAACCTCTCTCTTTCTGGGAGGCTTTAACCAGTCATGTTACAAATTTGGAGCGGAGGCAGACGTAGTGTACCTAACAGAGGGTAGTCTGTACCAAGGTGAAAGTAAGCAGCAAAGGTTGAAACTTCTTAGAAGTGCGATGCCAGTGGAGTCAGTTGCATCGGTAGCACTGATCATCTACTATGTGGGTAGCCAGCTCTTGACTCCTTGTGAAGGCAGGAGAAGACTTATGGTGCAGAGTGTTGTAACACAATGGAAGGTGTTTGCAGTATTGGCTTACTGCAGCTAGTTGTGGCTGCTTTACTCCAAATTTTCTGAAGCACCTCCAAGGCTGTTATCTTTCTGTTCCTAATCCGATTGTAGGCAAGAGAAATCTGGTGCATGTAAATCTTTTGTCATCATCAGGGCCAATGAGCAAGAATTCTCTTCCTAGCTTAGTCTCTAATAACTTATGTGGTGCCACAGGTTCAAGCGAATCCTTGTGCTGATATCCCACTCCCAGGACTTCTTGAATGGTGTCTGCACCAACATAATCCACATGCACAACCGCAAACTGAAGTACTACACGGTTAGTAAGTGGGGCCCTCTGCAACCAGCAAAAATGGAGGAGCTGTTCAGTGGGGCATGTCTGATGCTCTGTGGTCTCTTTCTAGGGGAATTATGATCAGTATGTGAAGACTCGCTTGGAACTAGAAGAAAATCAAATGAAGCGATTCCACTGGGAGCAAGATCAGATTGCCCACATGAAGGTATCTGCCTAGGTGCATGAACATCTTTCTGCCTATGCAGTGGGCATCCCTGTACCTCTTCAACCTGTTATTGTGGCTTTTGGCTTACTCTGTTTTGTTGCAGAATTACATTGCACGATTTGGACATGGTAGTGCAAAGCTGGCCAGGCAAGCTCAGAGCAAGGAGAAAACCCTTCAAAAAATGATGGCTTCTGGTTTGACAGAGAGAGTTGTGAATGATAAGGTAGGATCAGATATGTGATTGCATCTAGAGATCAGTATTGGAAATGTGGGCTAGATAAGTAGAATGATCTTTAGCTGACAGCAGGAGTGGCTGGCACAGCTGGGAGCAAGAATGGTATGCCCTTCCTGATGCCAAGGATGACTGTGCTGAAGGTAGTGTAATGCTGAAGCGTGGAAAGAGGAGTAATTTTCTAGGGCAGAGAAGGGGATTTTTCATATCATTAAGGCTATTTTGCAGACACAAAAATCAGAAATTAATGTCTAAGGGTTGGAGAAGATGGGGGGGATGCTCAGAGCAGCTCTTGTTTGAAGAGTATAAGCCCACATTTGCTTCAAGGGAAAAGAAATAAGGACTCATTAGCCAGCAGATGAGCTTGCAAGCCACTAACCAGAATAAATCTGTGAGTGCGTTGCTAGAGGGGCGCATGAAAAGTTTCAGTATGGTGCCTTGGTCTGCAGATGATGTTTGTAGTGAGGCATGGTTATACAGAATAACCGTGTTGTCTTGTGCTCTGGGGTATCTAACAAGTGGATATTCTGTGTTAACAGACTTTGTCATTCTATTTCCCGCCCTGTGGGAAAATTCCCCCTCCTGTCATCATGGTGCAGAATGTCAGCTTCAAATACACCAAGGATGGGGTGAGTATGGGGAGTGTGCATGGTTTATGTGGAGATTACGAGTATCCCTGCCTTGTTTGGGAGCGTGAGACTTGTGGCTAAGCTTTCTGATCAGGCTGCAGCATATGACCAGCGGATCAAACTTAGCAGTGTTAATGCTGAGTCTGCTGAGGACAGAGCATTACAGCTGCAGCATGGGGGTTCTTGGCAGTAGTGGAAAGGCATCGTACATGTCATGATTTTTGTGGTTTGCAGCCATGGATCTATAATAACCTGGAATTTGGGATTGACCTGGATACCCGCGTAGCTCTTGTTGGACCCAATGGAGCTGGAAAGTCGACACTGCTGAAACTGCTCACAGGAGAGGTATGCTCCCTACATTGTCTACCCTGTTCTGGACCTTTATTCTTGGGATAGTCTTCAACGAAGCTGCACTTATTTGCCGGAGCACCTCAGTCAGGCCTTGGAAATCCTAAGGTCTTGCTGCAATATAGGGTTTTTTCTCTCATACTATTTGTTCAGGCTGCCTCCTCTGTGCCAGAGCAGGGATGGCTGGATTCTATATTTCTGGCATACAACAAGAGGAGGGATTTCCTGGTGAAATGCTTTTATCTTGCCTTTGTAGCTGCTGCCCACAGATGGGATGATTCGCAAGCACTCACACGTGAAGATCGGTAGATACCACCAGGTACTCCCTACAGCAGCCGCTGGGATCTGAAATGCTGAGGAAAAAGCTGTCAGGAATGAGGAATCTTGCCCCTCTATTTCTGCTTCTAAGGCCTCTCCCATTGCTCTCTTCTGTTTCTGAAGATGGGGGAAGGGACTGTTCTGTTGGCTGCGTGGGCTCTAGCAAGTGTTCTTACCCTGAGAAGAGGCTTGCTGTGGTCCTTTCTGTTTAACCTTTCGCCTTTTATGGGAGAGATGGTTGCCTTGTGCTTGGTGGTGGACAAGCCTGCTATTCTGAAGCAGTGCTCCTGCCCCTGAGATGGAGACTACTTCTTCCATAATAGTTCAGCACAGTGGCTCTCCTGTGAGTGGGGTTACTTGCTCTTGTGTTCTGCTGCTCAGCTGGTACCAGAAGGGTATAAGGGGGAAAGTACTTTTGGCCATGAAGTGGGTGGCCTGCACAGCCTAAAGCTGGCTTTTCTTCTTTGTCAGCACTTGCAAGAGCAGTTGGACTTAGACCTCTCACCCCTGGAGTACATGCTGAAATGCTACCCAGAGATCAAGGAGAAGGAGGAGATGAGAAAAATCATTGGCAGATACGGTCTGACAGGGAAGCAGCAGGTGAGTACGAGCTGTTGAGGTTTGCTTTTTGCCTATCAGGGGAGCAGAGCTGCTGCATTTTCTGTTGCTCTGCTGATGCCTGACAGTGTGATGTAGTACGCAGCATGGCACGCCATAGCCTCAAAATGCTTTTTCCATACCTGCCTTTGAAATTGGAGGAAAAAATAACTCATGGCTCACAGGACCGTTCTTTGCATTGCAGCAATGCGTGGGTTGGAATGGGTGGACCCCCTCAGTATCTGGGTGAAGAGAGAGAGGACAAGTTGTGGCGTAGTGCATGTTTGAAACTTGAGCATGTTTCAATTGAAACTTGAACTAGTTAGCTTATCTCTTATTTCTGAGATGAATACGAGGCAGAAATGCTAGACAACATTCTCGTCTGGGAGTGGGAACCACTTGGTTCAAACAAGAGGGTAGGGTCACCAGTGGTGCTCTAAGTCTAAACATGACATGCTTGACAACGTGTATCAGTTGTCATCCTCATCACTGCAGTTCAACATTGATTTTTACATTGTTCTTCCCCATTTGTCACTCCAGAAGTTGACAGTGGTTTTATGGTTGTGTCAGGATGCACTGAACACCAGTCAGACCCCAATTAACTATCTTTTGGAACCTTTAACACGAGTTGGGACTTGCTATGGACACTCTTCCTTCAGAAGCCCCTGGAATTCCCTTGTTCTGCTGGTGAGAGAAGCTTAGTCTAGGTATAAAGCTGCCTAAACTTTGTCCTCTTGTCATGGAGCTGCTGGAAACACAGTGTGAGATCTGAATATTCTGGTCAGAGTGGCAGTCTGCAAGTTCTCCTGCAGAGCTGTGAACAGTGTCTCTGTTTGTCAGGTGAGTCCCATTAGGAACCTGTCTGATGGGCAGAAGTGCCGTGTCTGCTTTGCGTGGCTGGCCTGGCAGAATCCTCACATGCTTTTCCTGGATGAGCCCACCAACCACTTGGACATAGAAACAATAGATGCCCTGGCAGATGCTATCAATGAATTTGAAGGAGGAATGATGCTCGTCAGCCATGACTTCAGACTCATCCAACAGGTAAGAAAAGTAGTGAATTGTGTCAGAGCACCTTTCTAACACTTTAAGTAATTAAAACAAGGTGTTTTCAACACCTTATTCATCCCAAAAAGATGTGTGAGTAAGAAAAATCACTGGATGCTATTCCCTTGCCATGTTCATGTGAAACAGCTACTGAGCTAGCCTAGGCAAACATTAGGTACTTGGGGGGGAGGGGGAGCCAAAGCCCTGGAAGTGAAGAATATGGGAAAAAGGGCCTCCACTGTGGAGGCCTTAACTGGATTTTTTTTTTTTTTTTTTAAATGATACTGGGGTAGTTTTAGCACTTTTTTTT